GGACAGGGAAGATGGTTCAAATTGATGGGAAGATGGATGGAGCCAAATACAGGACCATTCTGGAAGGAAACCTGATGGAGTCTGCAAAAGACCTGAGACTGGGACGGAGATTTGTCTTCCAACAAGACAATGATCCAAAACATAAAGCAAAATCTACAATGGAATGGTTCACAAATAAACATATCCAGGTGTTAGAATGGCCAAGTCAAAGTCCAGACCTGAATCCAATCGAGAATCTGTGGGAAGAACTGAAAACTGCTGTTCACAAACGCTCTCTATCCAACCTCACTGAGCTCGAGCTGTTTTGCAAGGCGGAATGGGCAAAAATTTCAGTCTCTTGATGTGCAAAACTGATAGAGACATACCCCAAGTGACTTACAGCTGTAATCGCAGCAAAAGGTGGCGCTACAAAGTATTAACTTAAGGGGGCTGAATAATTTTGCATGCCCAATTTTTCAGTTTTTTATTTGTTAAAAAAGTTTGAAATATCCAATAAATTTCGTTCCACTTCATGATTGTGTCCCACTTGTTGTTGATTCTTCACAAAAAATTACAGTTTTATATCTTTATGTTTGAAGCCTGAAATGTGGCAAAAGGTCGCAAAGTTCAAGGGGGCTGAATACTTTTGCAAGGCACTGTACTAACTAACTGATAACTAGGATGCCTTTTTACTTTTTGCATACAAAAAATAGGTCACTATAAACTGTGTGTTAACATAGTTTGTATCTAAGCAATTATGACTTGTGGGTATCCTATGATTAAGAGGAAATGTTAGTTACCCTAACATTTATTTGGAGGTACATATTTTTCATATCTGCTGTTTTCCTCTTAGGAAATTCTTCCTTATCTGCATCTACACTGGTGACTGTCCAAATCCTAGATGTGAATGACAACAGTCCAGTGCTAGTCGGAGACTATTCCTGGAAGTACCTGTGTACACCTCGCTGGGAGGACCAAGCTCTGGTGCTGGCCTCACGGGACAGCGATGGGCCACAGCATGGGGGACGACTAAACTTCTCCCTGCGCAGTGATTCCACGGTCCGACGTAATTGGAAGCTAACGCCTATTAATGGTGAGGTGAATGCAGACTGGACGAACACTGTCAAACCATAGTATTCAGTGTTTGTCTTATGATTCATGGAGAAAAGAGAGGAGAGGCAAGTAAGGTCATTGTTGGGAGATGTTACATTTCTGCATTGATTTAGTAGCTGCTACTGCTCCTGCTGTCTACTACAGTATAGTGCTAAGAACTATGGTCTAATTCTGGCTGCCAGCATGGGCTCAAAGCTAGCCAGCGTGCTGCTAAATACATATAATTATCACCCAAATCAACCCTTATCTACTAACCAAAGCTGGCAACTGAAGTTGATTTACATTTGTTCATCACACAATAGAACACAACAAGTTGTGATATGTGAATGTTGTGTCTTGGTCCTCTTACTAGTTTGCTTTGCTAAGAATCAACTAGTTTCTGAATAAGCTATACATTAAAAAAAGATTTAAGTTAGGTTGACGTCATTCAGCTAGAATGCCATGCAATGTGAGATTAGAGATAAATGGATTTAGATGCAGCCAGTGGACACCAAATTGGGCACAGTGTTGGACAGTGGTGCTCTGAGTTACTTTGACTTATATGAATCAAAACATATCATCCATGAGTACAGATAGTCAAAGAAGAAGGTTGATCTGGTCCTCATGTGCAAATTGTACAGCTCTACTTTCACCCTCATAATTTCTTCAGTCCCATCTGGGATGAGAGGTGTAATTATCCCTTTTTTCTGTTCTAAAATGCTAGTCTTGTTAATGCAAACAATTTACTACATTGACGTCTGTCATTAAGTCATTCAAACAGCTCAGCCACTTCTCTCAGTTTTTTTTTTATCTCCCTCTTTCACTCCCCTGTTCCTGTTGGTATTGATTGAGCCCAGCTGTAATTATATCTTCTGTGTAATTTCTTTGACGTCATCACTGGGTTCCTGCCAGCTAATGGAGGCTAAAAAAAGAATCTCATAAAATGTTTTGCACCCGGTCACAGCCAATAACGTACCAATAACGTGCACTTGTGCCAGTATAATGTCTGCGGTTGAGTAGCACAGTTCGCATGACACAACCTCTTATGAAACGAACGTGCATGTGGACACGTGTGTGTGAAGCATCACCATTCATCTCAAGTCTTTCACAGACTCTTACATACCATGTTCAGCTGCACACTGTTATTCCACCTTACAGTACATTCACACTTAATGGCTGCTCATAAAAGCAAGGACAGAATTGTCGAACCCCCGGTCTGCTTGTAACATATTTAATAGCACTGTAATGTAAAAGTACTTGTTGGCATCACATCAGTCTTTCAGAATAATTCTAGGTAGCTTTCTGGTCACAAATACAACCAGCTAAACTGTCAAAACAGAGGTGAAATAATGCAGATGGAGGGTAACTACATTAACAGCCTCTTCAGAAGTACTGCTTGGCTCATGTTTCCCTGGCTGACAAATGGAACATGAAGGGGAATGATGGTAAGGTGCAAGCATAGAGTTCAAGACTCTCAGATAAGGGTTCAAACAGCTTGATAAAATGCTCCTCTTTGCAGGCAAAGGCTTTTACGTCATGCAGCCAGGCATGTATTTTAGACAGATTTACAGAGATAAGATTAAGAGCCACATACTGCAGGCCACCCTGTACACAGCTCCGGCAATCTTTCACATTCGGTGCATTGTGCAGCTGTATGAATGTGTTTTTGCTTGAGTTTTGTGAACTGAAAAAACATAGAAAAAATCAACTGGACTAGATTTCTAGGTCGAAGACGTTTCACCTCTCATCCAAGAGGCTTCATCAGTTCTGACTGACTGGTGTTGAGCCGGAGATATTTATCCCCCTCGGTGGTGTTTCAGTCCTTTGAAGGCCAACAATGGACTTTTTTAATTTGTCTTCTGGATAGTGTTGTGCACTGGCACTCAGTTGTAGTGCTGCATGGGAAGTGATGCCTTTTTAGGAGCATAAATTATGAAAAGAATTTTTCTGTACATACTGTGTGTTTTTTTTATTTACCAAACACAAGCACGGGTATCAGGCATCGCACATTTTTATGTCATACTTTTAACCAACATGCAATTTTTCTTTCAGATACTCACACCAACCTGTCCTTAAACATCCCATACCTGGCTCCTGAGGTCTACACAGTGCCCTTCACCATCTCTGACAGCAGCTCTCCTCCCAGAAGCACCTTCATAAACTTGCCAGGTAGTGCTGATGTGTGCTGATGAGCTAAATCGAGCACAGTGAGGTTATAGGACAAAAGCGTCGGAACAATCAATAGCCATCAACCCCTGTGTGCCAGCTTGTCCTAGCTCTGTTCTTGTTTATTAATGATACAGTGGGGATTTACAAATGATTTTTCCAGGCTTGTGATTACACAGCTCTCTAAAGACTGTGTTCTGCCCAGTATAGCCTGCTGACTTTCTATATACATGACACAAAACAACACATAACTTCTTATAGGCCAGGATATACTAGATGGTTTAAGAGGATAAGTGGGGTATGAGAGCGCTACCCTTTGGTTTTCCCTATTTGCAGTTTGGGGGTAAATCTTAGAAAAAATTAACATGTGAAATGTGTTTAAATGACATTTTGCGTTGTCTTGTTGTATATGAAATTCACTTTATATATAACAAGTGAAATCATATTAAAAGGCAAGTAAAATGAACTCCCTAAATACATCTTGTATTAGATATAAGCAGAGCAGCATTTTTATTTGGAGTAAAAGTATTTATAACTTACATTATCTTCCTGAATCTAAAAGTAAACATCACTCCTAAACATAAAGCACATATTTTTCAGTAAGTGGTATTTCCTATTTCATCAAAACTACTCTGCGGTGTGATGTTAAAAGGCCCTAACCTGTGATTTCTTTTTGTTTTCCATTTTTCATCTCCTGTTAGTGACAGTGTGTTTCTGCAACGTCAGAGGGAACTGCAAAATGGCTGCCAAGCAGTTGCAGGGCATGCCAACTATTCAGTCTGCAGTGGGCATTCTGCTTGGCACCTTTGCGGTCATAGGTAAGTAGAGAGGGTGAGGCAAACAGCTTTAATGTCACTTTTTATACTATTTTGTAGCTCTGGTGCATGTATTTTCAATTGGCTTCATGTGTGCCTATTGCACTATACTTTATAAAGAAATAATAACAGTGATGTTGTTGAATATTTCATCATTAATTCTTTATCTTTTACATTCCAGGAACTATCCTCATTGTTGTATTTATCAGACTGTCTTACCAGAACCCCAAACGGTCAAGCAAAACTAACCAGGAAAGAGTTCCCCTGAAGATTTCAGCTTAATTCAAATGACACTGTATTGTCTGTCCTGCTCATAGCTTACTGCCCCGATCAGCTGGACTAGTGTAACAGTGTTGCTGTCAGGGCAGTGAATTCATCAAGAGAACAAAAATGGCTACAACTGCTGTATATTTTATGACAAAATATTTTAGATTAGTCAAGATGGCTAATGTATGGTGAGTCCTCGATGTGTGTCTTATGTGTGTCCGTTTTTATCACTGTAGACCTGTTAGCTTGTTTCTTGGCCCTGCTTGCCTGTCAACAATGCATGTATCTGTTATTCGTTTATGTTAAATATAACTGCTCATGTAGCTATGATGTTATTTCTTTTGAAATTGTGATAAATTGCTACACAATAATTGTTATAAAAACATAAATCAGAAGTAAAATTTATGTGATTTAATCTAACACCAAAAAAGAATTAAATCATCATGCTTTCATTTAACTTCAAAACATCATATCTATTCTGCGGTTCTGTTCAGTCTATCCAAGCACAAGCCATTCTGAGCTTTCAGTTATCACTCACTGCATAAAATACTTTCATTTTCTCTCTGCAGCTACTTATAATCTTTCACATTAAAAGCTAAAGCTCTTTTAATCTAATGAGGCTGCCTGAAATTGTCCTGCATTTCTAATTGCATTAGTTGTGTGCTCAAGTCATTGCAAAGGCTTTATTATTGCTGACCCAGATGAACCAACATGCAAGCAAAGCTATATTCAGACCAAAGCGTTGCTATAAATAGCCCAATAATTGAAGATCCGTGACATTCAACCTGCAGTGTCCAGTGAACGAATCACTTCTCATTCACATAAGACAAAGCTTCATAAATTAAATACTGTAGAAGCTGCATACTCATCCAATTACCTGCCCTGTGATTACTTGTGTGTAGATGTTCATAAAACATGTAACTGTTTGCGAATACATTAACAACTTGATAAGATGACTGTGAGACTGGACCTGTGTGTTTATGCTAGTGGTTTTGCAGTTCCTCTGTCTTGTAAGGTTACAAAGTCAATGCTGTTTAAGTGCAATGTAACAACCCTTTAACTGTGATTTTAACATAAGCTCAACTTTGCCACTAACAGGTTTTAAATCCTAAATCCCCCCTTAAAAGCCTTGGGGAGCCTTGGGATTGTTTACCACTATATCAGAGAATGCTGAATTCATTTTCACTTGTCGTGGCCCATTTGATAAAAAATAATAATAACATTGCTTAATAAAAAAGAATTCCCCTGTTATTGAATCAGTTTTTTGTGTGGATGAATAATTTAGGCATAACTCAAATCCATAAAAAGAAGCCTGGCATAAGCAACACATCTTTCTAAATGCTTCAAAACCAGATGTGGTAGCAGAATGTGAGTAATTTATGCCTCATTTTCTTATATAACCAAATACTCATTGATCTAGTCCTGTCTCCACCTCCCTATGTATTACCTGTGTCATGATTCTCTCTAAGGATTTCAATAAAGTGAAAGTTAAAGCCACTGACCTATAAGAATTTTTTTTGAGGAAAATACTTTTTTCAACTGAAAAACAAAACAGCAGAAATGTGATGACAAACGACTATTACAAATGCTTGTAAAGTAAGTGCTCCCTCAGCTGGACACTTTCAATGTGCAATGACTCACCAACTATAGAGACAATGGTCCCGATAGCTTATGCAACCACTGCCCATTTATATTAGGCTATTTATGTCTCTGGCTAACTGTTCCAATCAAAGCACAGCATAGCTCCAAGTAAAAGAAAAATATACTGAAGAGGACTCTGAGGGAAATGGGAGCACAGAGGGCAACAGGATTAGCTTGTGACACGAGGTCAAATCTTAAGTTTAGGAGGTAATGAGCCTCCATCTTTAGCCCTTATGTGTTCCAACAAATCTTTCTAGGACAAAGATGGTTCAGCTGACTGACTTTGGGCGCAAGGCCACAGAGAGAAATTGGAATGAGGTTTCCATTCACTTCAAGTAGCTTGGGAAATGAGAGATAATTCACAATGTACAGTATGGGTGGACCTTCTGGGACGTCAGTGGCTGGTTTTCCCCAAGTGGCCGGCTGGTTTTCCACTGCTCAGTCACCGGTGTTTTTTTTTTATCCTTTCTCCCCCTGTTTTGGATATTTTAAGATCATGTAGTTTCACTTTGGCTCCAGACTTGACAGTTTCTCCATCTGTAGCTGTTAAAGGCTTGCTGTGTGTCAGAACTGCTGCAAGTCATTTCTGAGAAGTCTTCCATCATAGGTTTGCTGCATAACACGACCCCTGCCAAGGTACTCACAAAAAAACCACCTAATCTTACAGAAACACTGGAGCTGTACTCAAAATTGTATACTTATAATGCACGACTATCACCTCTGCAGTTCTCCTTAGTCCAACATAACCTTTTAGTGTCTTTTAGCTGAATTGTTTTGGTTTTATGGACAGGTTCACTCTCACAGCATCATTTTTTTTGTTCCAGCAGGCAGCTGATTAACCCACTGTACATTACACTACATGCCATCTAATAGATAAATGTAGCAAGTTATGAACAGTTTGCTAACATACCTGGAATATGAAACTAACATAATGTGATAATGTCAGTCTCATGCTCATGTTTGTATAATCCTCATGGTTTTACATAACAGGGTTTTGTGCCAGGCTATTTCTTTTGCCTGGAGCAGAGTCTTCACTTGCTTGGCAGTCATATTGTTCTAGTGAGACTTGCTTTTTGTATGGATTAAGCAAACCAAGACCATGATAAAACATGTTAATAAATGAGCTTTAAGTGCTGGTGGGAAGACTGGTTACTTTGCACAGATCCAGGTTAACTCTTTCCACTTGTTAAGAAACAGCTAAACAGCTGCTGGCTCCTACTTCATAGTTACTGTAGAGACGAGATCAATCTTCTCCTAAAACTCTTGTAAAGAAAACAAATAAACATATTTCCCAAAATGTTAATTCCTGTAATAGACAGACACCAGCAGGCACATACTGCTACACATCATGCCATTAATTAGTCATCTCTGAGGTGGATGTGGTTTTGTTTTGACTCAGTGAATAACACTTATCTCCTGTGCCAAATCAACTTGAAGATAGAAATGAAATCACCTTTGTACAATTTCAATCTGAAAATCCTCTTACCAGTTTGTGCTATGTGGATTTAATAAGGCTGCCACAGTTCAGCTTCTCTATGTCTATTTCCTATGTTCATTAGGCAGAGGTCAACTGAGGGTCAAATAACAAGAACAACAGACTACCTAAATCTCTTTTTCAATATTAGAAATTATTCACTGACCTGATTGAATGCATATTTCATCAGTGTGAGCATCTGCATCTTGTGTAAGTTTGAGAGAGTTCAAACACAAAATCCAATTTGTATTTGTTGTGATAGGGATCTACTCAGGGGCTGAGGAAGACATGGCTGTGTGAGACCAGTTCATTGTTCATTTTGTGCCTATCGCCATGCACAGAGGTGTGGAGATTAGGGACAGATTCATGCACACTGCTCATTTGCATTTTGATTTCAGTATGTTTGATTACATTTCATCTGGAGGCAAACAGCTTTTATTATCTTATTTAATACCACTAATTGCATTCAGAGCATACAGGGTTTCGTTTGAATATCTACAGAATAAAAACCCCCATCAACGAAGGCAAAGAAGCATGTAGGACATGCAGTATGCTTCCAGTTTTAATGGAAACCTGAATTCTAAATTATTAGAAATGTGCACATTCACCATTTGAAACGACCTCAAGAAATGCTGCAATAAGTGGCCCACAGAGTGTGGGAATGAACTTGCTCTTTCAGTATGTTTGACCAATATAAACTGCCAGTAATTACTGGCAGTTGAGAAAGGTCACAGGCTGTTTCTATTTGCACAGTAAATTGGTTCATTGACAGGAATGGTGCTTCATGACAGCAACATAACCCAGTGTTGCGTCATTATAAGTGATGTTCTCCAGCTGTCCACATAGTGTAACAAAACTGTAACAGGTAATCGTACAGAAACTTTGAGATTCAACATGGAGTTCTAACAAACTGTGTTTATTTTTGCAAGAGAATCATCAAAGCTGAAAAATAAACTTTGTATGATCCATCAATTTTAAAACAAGGTTCAGTGGAGTTGACCTGTGATCGTAGGAGGTTGCAAGTCTGTCTTGTTTCACATAACACTGACACTGGTGGCATGAGAAGCTGTCAAACCTGTTTGCTACGGCTCTGCTCCAGCAGTGTCCGAAAGTAAACAAGTACATTTACTCAAGTACTATACTTCAGTACAAATTATTTGTGGATTTTCTATTCAAGATTAAAATGATACTAAGTTTAAAAAGAAGAATTAACACAGTCTTCCCCTTACAAAATTAAATAATCAAATTAATTTTATGTCATTTCTACCTTTACTTCACAGTGTAGAGCCAGACAGGGAACATGAGGATTGAAGAGAGGGTACAACATGCAGCACAGGTCGCCAGCTGGAGTCAGACATTGCAGTTATGTCGTATGCAGTTTAGCATTTAGCATTACATGAAAATAATCACCTACCTCCTGTGGCTGCTGTTTAGCAAAACCTATAGTCTCACTTTTAATCTGCCCTAATAATAATAACCCCCCAAAATGTAAGATACAGTAAAATGTTAACAGACACAAAGGACCTTTACAGTTGATACATTAAGGAAATTTTGTTAGATTTAGAATGCAGGACTGCAGTGGTATTTGTAAATTAAACTAAAGAATCTGAATGCTTCCTCCATCACTGGGCGCCAGTAAAATAAAAACAGACTTTTAACACATTTCTATTTTTAAAAAGCTTTAAAAAGTATTTTTTTAAGATGGCTTGCAATGTTAATATGCCACCCCCCTTTTCTATTTTCTATTATTTAGTCAATGCAGAAATTTGATGTCCTGAATGTGAAAGCAGTTTAAACTGCTTGTCACATGAAATGGATATTAGAGTATGTGCGTGAATCATGCTATTTATAACATTTCAAAGGCTGTACTCACCCTTCCATTATCAAAACAGGAAGCTGGAAATAAACAATTTGAATTATGAAGGAGCTGGAATATACACACAAGAAAGCAAAGAAGACTGTCTGACACTACGCTACGAATTCATCAAATACAACATAGTCAACCTGCAGATGAGAAAAACACATTAGGTCTGATTATTGCTGTAATATATTCCATGTAGCACCTGTGAAAAAGCCATGTGAGAGTGACATAGAGGCAGTGAATAAAGTGTGCACTAGAACCGGAGAAGCATGAAAGAGGAAAAGAGAG